GTCAAATGCTCTATGCTCTTTCTGCATCTATTGAGGTCATCATGTGATTTAAAAAAATTTTTGTAGTCAATCCTCACCTGAGGATATTTTTTCTATTGATTTTTTTTTTTTTTAGAGAGGGAAGAGAGAGAGAAACATCGATGTGAGAGAGACACACACATCGATTGGTTGCCTCTCACATGTGCCCTAACCAGGCTGGGGATCAAACCTGCAACCCAGGTATGTGCCCTTGACCGGAATCAAACCTGCAACCCTCAGGGCAGAGGCCAATGCTTTGATCACTCATGTGATTTCTATGCCTTGTTCTGTTCATGTGGTGCATCACACCTGTTGATTTGTGTATGTGGATCTTTGAACCATCTTTGCATCCCAGGGAACAATGGTTTCTTTTCAGCACGCTCTGGGACTAGAGGTGGTCCAGTATTGAAATCCAGTTCTCCCACATGTAAAGCAAGCTCTCAGAGAAAGAAACTTCCACGCACAGTGACAGACCTTTCCATTATCCTTACGTCTTAACAATCACCTACCACGTTTTACTTTAACCTGGTCATACAATGAGACTTGACCAGAACACGGACGCACCCTGATTCCTATGTTAATGTTCATTTGATCTATGCCTCTGGGTCTTGGAATCCTGAACCTTAAATGCAGCTCAGCACCAGGAGCCCTCCACCTTCCCCAAAGTTCTTCCCAGCTTCCACCATGTGCACATATATATACTTGTTTTAACTGTTTAGCTCTTTAATGGAACAGCCTCCACTTTCCCTTCTCGCTGCCTCATCAGCCAAGACACTCCCCTTTGCTCCAGATCCCCCTGTGCATTGCATTCTAAGGTAGACATAGCGAGAGTACAGTCCCCAAACCTCCATGCCCAAAGCTGTCCCCTTCGCTCCTCCATAGAAGCAATTTCCTACTCTTCTTGGTCAAGTTTCTCTTCTTTTTTTTCATCAGCAACTCATACTCATTAAAGAAATATGGAATATGCAAAAAGACTAGAAAATAGATAAAAATCACCCATAATCTCACCAACCGAGAGGAAACCACTCCTGATATTTGGGCTATTTCCTTAGACTCTTTCTTACAGAATAAAGAAGTCTCTATAACAGGCATCCACCTACCAGTTCTTAGGTGCGCTTGAGAGTTTAAATGCACTCGGAGTTGAGGTTGCCTCCAGCGATATTCAACTCATACAACTTATTTCTTATACCTCAAATCTCTACAGCAGTAGGAATTTCACACAATTTTATACAGAAACTTTAAAATGCTTTAGCACATGTCTTCATCACCTTAGCTGTTCTTTGTGTACTTCTGGCGCATATATCCTGCAGCCCCTGATCCATCTCCCACCACAGAGGAGCAGTCCTGATGTCCTTCTACCCCAATTCACTCTGCTCAGCCACCTGACTGCCAATTTGAATGACTGTCATTGAAGAATCATGTCAAGTGCAGTTTGGGGAAAACTATCAAAATACACCATGCCTATTTTACAATGCACTCTTTCGAAATGAAATGAACTGTTTTGTCTTCTTTCCAAATTCGCACATGCACGTAACAATCAGGAAGGGTTCCTTTGTTAGGTACATGCCACGGTCTCCGCTCTGCAAGGCGGGACCGCAAAGCCAGTCCACCTGTCACAGTTAGAAAAGTGCTCACCGGTTGTCCAGAATGAAAACACCACAGGCTTTCAGGAAAGGGGCTGGTTCCTGTGGTCAAAAGATTTGTACTGAGCTGCGAAGGCTAAGAGAAGAACCAGCAAGAAAAATACCAGCCGAGATCAGAGGCTGCAATTAGCCTTCAGCCAAACTTACTAGGTGCCAAGCATCAACCAGGCATTGTGGGAAAGAGAGGGAACGAGAGAGACGATAAAGCAGCACCGAGTGGGGGCTTGTACGTGCCTGGGGCAGCCCCGGGCAAAGCTTCCCTGAGGAGATGCCCCTGAGCTTGGCATGGAAGAGAAGAGGGGAGGACGGGCATCCCAAGCATGGGGACTGGCTAGGCAGAGGCACAGCGGCAACCTGTCTCGTCAGAGAACCACGAACAGCACAGGAAGGGGGTAGGGGGCACGATGAGCCACTGAAGGCTGCAGGAGCCAAACCCTAAGTCCTGGCTGCTGGGGTGATAAATGTGTACTTAACTTTCCCCCCATTAAGCCAAATGCACGAAGAACATCTGCGCCATGGACAGAAGTTTCCAGAACTGTGATGAGATAGACCTCACCCGTACCCTGGAGAAACTCACTGGCTGGTTGAAGAGGCAAGAAGCAACCCTGGTGTCCTGATCGTACCTTCTCAGAGTTCAGGTTCTCCATCGCAGCCTTACCTGGCCAGTGGCCGGTAGCGCTCTAAGAGGAGAGACTACGGAGTTTGGAGACTCAGGACATGCCACCCTCTCCCATTTCTGCTCAGGGCGCGATGGCTCTGAGTGTCCCTCCACTTCAGCTTTCCCTGAGCACCCCTGTCTCCCACATGTCCGGGAGGGAGGCTCCACTTCATTCAAGCGGATTTTGTTATTCAGCGGCTACGAGAGTCTCCCCTGGAGGAGGAGGGTCAAGCCCAGGGATGGTTTCCTTGAGCTGAATCAAGGGATAGACCCAAGGGCACCAGAGCTACAACCACAGCCAGTCCCTCCTGCGGCTCCTCTCCTGGAAAATTCTCTCCAGACACCGAGCTTACCCCAGAGCCTCCATGCCCCACCCCGGGCGTCTGGTCCTGACTTCCTGTTCTCTGGCCTTGACCCAGGGCCTCACTCCGTGCCTGGCACCCAGGGGCAGATCAATGAGTGTTGTTGCGGTAACAAGTGGAAGTCAGCTCTCGCTTCCTGTTGACCGCACTGCTGTGCTCCGGCCTGGCCTCTGCGCCTCTGGCCCAGGTTATTCATAGGGCCCTGGGACTAGACTGCAAACACACAGTGACCGGTGCTGAGTAATCGTCTGGCTCTCTGATCACACTGATTATCAACACCCAGTTACAGCAGCTAGTCACGCAGGACGCATGCCCCTTTCCGTGCCGGGGCAACTAGAATGTAATCACTCATTTGTGGAACATTTATTGAGGCCGTTCTATATGTCAGGCACTGAGCTGGGCGTAAGGATAGAGAAATGGCCCTGGCCGGTTGGGCTCAGGGCTTAGAGCATCGGCCCGAGGACTGAAGGGTCGTGGGTTCGATTCCTACTCAAGGGCACATGCCTGGGTTGCAGGTTCGATCCCTGCCACCAGTCAGGGTCACGCGGGAAGCAACCAGTCGATGTTTCTCTCTCTCTCCCTCCAACTCTCTGTAAATATCAATGGGGAAATATCCTTGGGTGAGGGTTAACAACAACACGGACAAATACAGGAATAAAAAGACACGGTAACAACAGAAGCAAACATGTAGGAAAGTCTAGAATGTAAACATTGATGCTATGAGCCTCCTGGAGGGCTCCAGCGGGGCTCGCTTTGAGAACCGCAGTCAGAGCCTCGTTATTGATGAGAAATTAATATTAATAAGACATTTTAAACATACCTAAAGCACCCAAGACTTATTTACCTCTGCATTTAGGGTGCATAGGTGACGGTTCATTAGAGTGGCTGACATCCACTAAGTAAGCCCCAGCCTGCAGCTCAGGCACTGAGCATGGAAGGATGTTGAGATGGGTCAGGGGGCGGGGTGGGGGGAAGGACTACCATTTGCATGTGGCTGGGCTCAAGGCAAGAGAAGCTCCACCCGCTAGAGAAGTTCAAAAGGTAATTAAACCAGTTAAGAAGCAAACAGCACCGGGACTGCGGCTGCCTTTCGGAGCCTGTTTCCAAGAAGTCATTTCATCAACGCAGGACATCAAACGCGAATCCCATTTTCAGCGATGCAGACTCCAGAAGAATAATACCTCGTATTTGCAGAACGCTTGATGCTTCTTAAGGTGCTTTCCCAGTTATTAATCTAGAGCGGTCTTTATTACCACTGGAAACATACATTGAAATTCCGTTCAAACCCAAGTTCCCCGTTATTTTTCCCACCTTCCCCCTCAAACACTAGTGCCGCCGAAATCCAGGTACTTGTGACTGCGGAGCTCTAAGAAGTTTAACCAACAAGGTGAATAGCATAAATGCTGCCTCGTGTGGGGCCTTCCGAGCCAGACTTCGGAAAACCTGTTGATTTAACAATATCACAGGGACCGGCTCCCAGGTCAGATTTGAGATCCTTGCAGGGTCTCAGAGTTTGTGGGTACTGCCTGCTCTAGTTCGTAGGGATCCATTCCCTTTTATCGGATATTAGAAAACAAGGAAATTAGTTCCACCACTTTGTCCTTAAACCTCCAGAAAGCCCCGGCAAGGTAGCCCCAGAAGCCAGAGCGCCGCCGTGAACCTTCTGTTTTGTTTTGTTTTTATCCTCACCTGAGGACACTCTTTCGTTTTTTTGCTCAGATAGAGTGGGAGGGAGAGAGAGGAGGAGAGAGAGAAACATCGACGTGAAAGGAACACATCGAGTGGCTGCCACCCGCACTACCGACCAGGGCCGGGGACAAACTGCAACCGAGGTACATGCCCTTAGCGGGAACCGAACCCGGGTCTCTCTGGACCGCAGGCCGACGCTCTAACCGCTGAGCCAAACCGGCCAGGGCTAACCTTCTGTTTTTAATGTAACATGAACCAAGGAGCTGACTCTGCTGTAAATCCGAGGTGGGGAGAGGATCTTAGAGACACAGGTGAGAAGACAGGACGGCGTGGGAGGGAGTACTGCTCCCCAAACCTTCCCCACTGGCGTCTTTCTCTCTCTCAGACTTGATTCGGCAGCGTTCTCGGTCCCCGACCGACCCCTTTCCTGACACCTCAGTCTCATGCATTTTAGCAAAAGATTAACCTGACTGTTTGCTTTCCATTCTGAAGCTGTGTTAATACTCAACTCCTTCCAGATTAGGAACGAAGAAAAACACACTCCCACGTCCCCCACCCTGGCTCCAGCGAGGCCCCAGGCTGCTGTTTGTGACCATGTCGCAGTCCCCGGACGGCGCTGGCTGCACTCACCATTTCAGGAGGGCCAAGAGGACCACGGACAGGGCCACCGTCAGCATAGGGCCGCTCACGTCCACCCCGAGCAGCCCTGAGACGGCCATTGCTCCTCCGAGACCCCCCAGGGGTGTCCTCCAGGGGCAAGGGGGTGGCCGATCGCCCTGCTGTTACGGGAACCACGCTCTGCTGATGGAAGAAGGAAGAGGTGACCGAGAAAACGTCACCTCGAGTGGGTCCCCAAAATGTGCCGTTCCTCAGAGTGTCTCCTCATAAAGAGGAAGGAAGAGGAGGGAAAAACAAAGGGTTTCTCTGTAAGGCAATGAATCAGCCGTTTTCTTGATGACTGTACTGTCAATAAACATTTACGTTAAATCCCCTGGGAAGCCGCAGCAGTACTGGCCCCATGTTGGCTGAGAAACAAAACCGTCCAACCATGGACTTCTACTCTGACAAGTGGTCCCTAAAGGAAGACGCCTCTCAAAAAAAAAAGAAAATTAACTTATCATTACATGAAGATTTGGGTAATGAGATTTCTGTATATCCCAGAAAAACTTGGAGGGGACATCAGCCTGATGAAAAATGCTCACTGCCCTGGCCTGTTTGGCTCAGCGGTTGGAGCATTGGCCTGTGGACCAGAGAGTCCCGGGTTCAGTTCCCGCTAGGGGCACGTACCAAAAAAAAAAAAAAATGCTCACTGCCCTAAGGACATCTATCCCGCAAAGGTCTCTGGTTCCCGGGGCCTGATAACCGCTCCGGGGCCAGAGGTGACTGGTGGCTGGCTGTCGGTGACTGGTGGCTGGCTGTCGGTGACTGGTGGCTGGCTGTCGGTGACTGGCTGCTAGAACAGACCCAAAATTTTGCTTCAGATTAGTGCTCTCATCCTGAGGGGGAGGAATTCTTTCTTTTTTTAATCTTCACCCAAGATATTTTCCCATTTATTTTCAGATAGAGTGGGAGAGAGGGAGAGACGGGGAGAGAGAGAGAGAGAGAGAAACATCGTGGGTTGCCTCCTGAATGACCCTGACCAGGGCCGGGGACTGAGCTGCAACCAAGGTACGTGCCCTTGACCGGAAAAAACCCTCGATTCTTTGGTCCATGGTCCGACACTCTAACCGCTGAGCCCAACTGGCCAGGGCGGATTTCTTAATGTCTCACAGCAGATCCGTAGATAGACTCATGTATGGCTCCTTGGTTCCAGCTCTGAGCTTATCTGACTACTGGAGACTGAATCCTTTTTTGCTTATTAGTCATTGTCTGTCACCTCTGGTCACGGGGCAGGTGTCCCCAAGTCGGCGGCCCAGCGGAGGGAAGCAGCTGGGAAGAGGTGGCGATGTCGACAGAGGCCGGAGAGCACAGGGCCACGGTGAGAAGCCTGGGCTCCGTTTTACGGGCCTCTAGGGTTTTAGTATTTATTTATGTTTGTTAAAATCCTTCTGGCTACACGTAAAGGGTTCATTGGAGGGGAGCAGGAGGGAAAGCAGGGGACCCCTGAGGGGACTCCGCCCTGAGGGTACGCCACTCGGACCAGGTGTGCAGCGTGGACAAGTTTGCAGTCTGCGTCGGGGTGGACTCGGCGGAGTCTCCTGATGGACGGGGTGTGGAGGGGAGGAGGGAGCGTGTCTGACTACCAGGTTCCTGCTTGACCTACAGGTGTGTGGCTGCGGTAGGCTGAGACGGGAAGATGAGGTCTTGCTGGGAAAAGCGAGACGTTCAGTTAGGGTTTGGTTTCGTTTAGGATGCTTGGGAGACGTCTAAGTGGAGCTGTCAAGTCAGAGTCATCGCTGCTGAAAACATAAGTAATGACGATGAGTAATGACAACGCCATTTAGGGACTGCTTCCCATGCGTTAGTTACCATTCCAAGAGCGCCCTAGGTGTCAGCTCCCTTCACCCTCACAAACAACCCGATGATGTCCAACTGTCCAACGTAACCCCGGGTCATAGAAGGGGCCTGGGGCGAAAGACTCCTCTTAACAGAAGTTTGTATTCAAACGCGGCCGTCAATATGCAAATGTATTTCAATGCAGAGGAGAAGGAGCCACACAGAAGACAGCAAACCATCCAAGCGCTAAGTACCTCCCTTTTCTCTGACCCTTTTCCCTGCCTCCCTGTTTTGTTTTATTTTTAATTTTTTTTTTTTATCCTCACTGGAGGACATTTTTGCATTTATCCTCAGATAGAGCGGGAGGGAGAGAGGGGGGGAAGAGAGAGAGAGAAACATTGATGTGAGAGAGACACATCGAGTGGTCGCCACCCACAATGACCCCAACCGAGGCCGGGGACAAACTGCAACGGAGGCACATGCCCTTAGCGGGAACCAATCCCGGGTCTCTTTTGTCCTCAGGCCGAGGTTCCAACCGCTGAGCCAAACCGGCCAGGGCTGTTTTTAATTTTTATAAGAGTTTATTTGACCACATATGCAGGGAGCAAGATCTCAATTGCTCCTCTGCCCCCCTGTTGGCTACCCTACTCAGGTGTCCCTCCACAGCCGCACCCCAGCTGGACCCGGTGTGGCAGGCTCCAGACCAGCCCTCCCCGACTCGGTCTTCTTTGTCCCATCCCATCAGTGTGTACCGAGGTGTTCACGGATCTGCGTACCCCCAAACAGAGCTGCACTTCCACAAGGGGTATCTGCAGTGAAGCTGTGGGACGCGGAGGAGCTAGGTTGTCACGGCTACTTCATCACGGATTCGGTCAGAAGGACCTCTGCTATTCCTGGGAGCAGTGGATATGTCAGAAAGATGCCCAGAAAAAACCTTTTTCTTTTAAGATTCGAAGGGGAAATAAATGTGAGAAGTGCTGGTTAAGCCCCCAGAAGCAAGTATACTTCGCGGAAGGCCCCTCGGGGACTTGAGCCTGTAACGTGCCCGGCGAGGCAACGAGAGTGGGGTGCGCAGAGCAGCCGTGCCCACGTCTCTGTGACCACCGAGTCCCTCTTCAGGGACGTTTAGCAGCACATCCCTTAGGAACACGCTCTGGAAAATGTTGACCAAGCCGAAGTCTTATTTACAGAGGAGGAAACAGAAACCCGGCCAGGGAGAGACAGGACAAAGTCCCAGAGCTGCCTAGTGATAGGACCCAGGTCTCTCATCCTGCGTTTTAGGTTCCGCGTCCAGACTATGCTCCTCACGTCACCCCGTGGACATGCCCCCGCACACCTGGCACGGTCCTGCCTGCCCACAGAGCCGCCTCGGAATGCGGGGGGCCAGCTCAGAGACGGCTGGCTTTCTTGAGGGGTCGCCAGCTCCCCGGGGACACGAGCTCACGCATTCATTCCTCCTGTGCGACCTGTGATTTGTGGAGAGATCGTCGCCCCCTTTCTCCGCTCACCTCAGAGCAGAGATGATACTCGGGGAGTTGTGGGCAGTCGATGAACCCAGATGGGGTGGAGGGTCGGATGTGAGGGAGCTTAAGGGTTTGCATCAGGAAAGTACCGTGATTAAGGATGTACTACAATTTTGATTATCTATGATACAAGGCAGGGACACTCTGGCTGGGATAGTTTCAGGATGAAGGGCAGACTGCTGCAATGATGTTTACCATAATTAAACATTAGACTTTTATTCTCTGAGTATTTTCTGATCAAGAATGTCTATTAAAAACAATCCACTCTACAGAACTGTATAAAACATATCAACTCCCAGAGACTAACTCCGTTAAGAATCAGTGTAGCCCTGGCCTGTTTGGCTCAGTGGTTAGAGCGCCGACCCCTGGGCCAATGAGTCGCAGGTTCGATTCCGGCCAAGGGCATGTACCTTGGTTGCAGTTGGTCCCCGGCCCTGGTTGGGGTCCTGCAGGAAGAAGCCAGTCAGTGTGGCTCTCTCACATCTGTGTTTCTCTCTCTCTCTCTCTCTCCCCTCCCTCCCACTCTATCTGAAGATAAATAGAAAAATATCCTTGGGTGAGGATTAAAAAAAGAATCAGTGTATACCGTCCCATGTCTTTTTCTATGCATATGTAAACATGGGTATATTTTTATTTTTTTATTTTTTTCTCCAGATAGAGCGGGAGGGAGAGAGGGAGAAAAAGAGAGAGAGAAATATCGATGTGAGAGGGACACATCGAGTGGCTGCCACCCACACGGCCCCAACCGGGGCCGGGAACAAACTGCAACCGAGGTACGTGCCCTTAGTGGGAACCGAACCCAGGTCTCTCTGGTCCGCGGGCCGACACTAACCGCTGAGCCAAACCAGCCAGGGCTATTTTTATTTTTATGAGCACAAACTCATCATATCCATGCCAGTCGGCAGTGGCCTTTTCCCCTCGCGGGGCCCTGCCAGTCTTCGTGCGCTCGTACCTAGAGATACGCACCTTTTGCCACTTGGGAGTCCACTGTGTGGGCGTGTCGGCATTAGCCTGCCCTCTGTTGAATGGCATTCGAGGGGTTTCCACGTTTTCCCAACAACAAATGAGGCTGCAGTGAACATCCTTGTACGTGTCACTATGGCCTTGGGTGAGGATCTCCCAAGTGACATCCTTAGACGTGGCCCTGCTGGGCCCCGAGACGTGCATTTCGAAGGCAGTCTCTCTATTTCCTCCCCGAGCTGAGTGCCAGCGCCTACCCCCCCTGGCTGGACACCCCCAGAGCTTCTCCCCTGCACCTCAGCCTACTCCAAGTCTATCTTTTTTCCTCCAACATCCAGGCAGACACCTCCCCCAGAGCTGGGTCAACTGTTTTGACTTAAGTCTGTGTTTCTTTTTAAAGCTTTCACTCCATAAATCCTGTGGTATTTCCTCCGTGTTCCCTGTGTTTAAAGTCTGCCCGTGTGGATGTGTGAGTGGCGCCTTGCTTCTCGCTGACGGGTCCCAGCTGGCCACGCAGAGCCCGGCTCTCCGACGAGGTTCGAGGGGCACGGTCCCTCCGCCGGGCAGGAGCCCGAGTAGCGGGCACCATGCACATCCAGAGAACGTTTACGTGGGCACCCACTGCCGCTCAGAGCGAGCCTGGGGCGTCGGTGAGCAGGACTCATTCCTGGGTTCCAGCTGGGAGACCTGGAGCTCAGCGAAGTTATGAGACTGTCTGAAATTATACATTAACACGTTCTAGAGACCAGCCTCCAGCCCCAGTCTCCTGGCTTTAAACCCAGGGTTTTTCCACTGAATCTGAAGTCACTGCGTGGTTGAAATACCCGTTTCCCGAGGCAGCCGAAGCTGTGATGCAGTTTGTTCTGGTGTGCGCCCCCTGGGGTGGGATGGTGATAAGAGGGTGGGATGGTGTTAAGAGGGCAGGATGGTGTGTGCCTGGTTTTACCTCCTTGCAGAAGAGGTGAGCGCCCCTTTTG